AAGCCCGCTCATGTACCAGGGATGGATTCTGATCCCACCGCCAGGGGGCTCCCAAGTAGATCAAGCTACACACCTGTCTTGCCATGCAGAGGGCCTAGTCCAGTCCCATGCAGGCTCCACAGTATTGATCCAACTTTCATGAATTCCCACGTTTGGTTTGGTTGTCTCTGCAGGTTTCCCCATTATGATCTTGATGCATTTGCTCATAGAATCTCTTTTCTCTCTCCCTGACTGGACTGCTGGAGCTCTGCCTGGTGCCTGGCTGTGGATCTCTGCATCTGTTTCTATCAGTCGCTGGAGAAAAGCTCTGTGATAACAGTTAGGGTATTCACCGATCTGATCTCTGGGGCAAGCCAGTTCAGTTAAGGCACCCTCTCCACTATTTCTAGTTGTCCAAGTTGGGGTCATCCCTGGGGATTCCTGGGAACTCCCCTAGCACGGGGTTTCTCTCTATCCCCATGATGTCTCCCTCTATCATGGTATCTCTTTCTTTGTTTTCCCACCCCATCCCTGTTCCAGCTTGACCATCCCGTTCCCTTATGTTCTCATCCCCCATCCCCTCCCCTCCATTGCCCACCACTCATCCCCAGTTTACTCATGGGGATCTCACATATTTCCCCTTCCCAGGGAGATCCATGCATCCCTCTTAGGGTCCTCCTTGTTAGCTAGCGTCTTTGGAGTTGTAGGTTGTAGTCTGGTTATCCGTTGCTTTACATCTAGCATCCACCAATGAGTGAGTGCATACTGTGTTTGTCTTTCTGAGTCTGGGCTACCTCATTCAGGATGATATTTTTTAGTTTCATCCATTCAGCACCAGTTCTTAAACTCTCAAAGCCTGCCTCCAGTTACATACTTCCTTCAGCAAGGCCACACCTCCTAAATTCTCCCCCAAACAGCACTGGCCACTGGGGATCAGTTCAAATGCATGAGCTTATGGGGAGCGTTCTCATTCAAAGCACCACAACTTCTGATTCTGCTGCCTTCACTCCTGTGTGCTACGATCCCAGGCATGTATCACCTTATCCATTTCAACGGTGCTGGAAATGGAGCCAGGGCTTCATGGCTGCTAGGCAAGTGCCATGACAACCAATCCACCTCTCCAACCAAACCAGCATTGTGCCTGGAAGATGCCTGCAGAAGCACACACCCTACCTTCCTGGCTGTGTGTTCTGACCCTGAGATCAAAGTCTCCACCACAGAGGGGGAGGCTGATGCGATGTCTTCTGGATACCAGAGTACACGGCGCGCGGGGGGGGGGGGGGATCCAGAAACCTTTCCCGTACCCATGTCTCTGAGCCTTTGCACATACTCTCCCCCCTGTTAGGAATGCCCTAGTGCCCAAATGCTTGTGAGTTCCACCTGCCCTCCAGCTGAGTTGCCCCTCCCATCAGCCCTGCCCACCCTGCTAGCCCAGTCAACCTCTTTTCTCATGCCCCTGAGCATTCTTTGTTCCTTGCATGGGCGAGCTTTTGGATGGCGGGTGCCATCTGCACCCCTAAAGATGCCTTTCAGCCCAAAGCCATTTATTGGCTTTTATAACTTCGAAGACTAGGGGTATGACTAGATTACAAGATATTCTCTCACTCTTTCCTTTCTCTCTCCTCCCCTCTCTCCTCTCATCTCTGTGTATCTGTGTCTGTGTCTGTCTCAGTCTCTCTTCCTGCTATGTCTCTGTCTTTGCTATGCTCTGTGCTCTGTCTGAGCCTCATTCTCTCCAACTGCTTACAGGGAAGAAGCCTGCCCAGAGAGGCAAGCCTCACCCCAGCCCCCAGCCTAGCTTCTTAGCAGGAAGATAGTCAATGCTTCTCTGCAGTGTTTGCATGCTGAGCCAGGCAAGCAATCATTATGACCCTGCATTGGGGGAGGGGGTCATTTCTATACCTTCCCTTATCACTGAGGTCAGAAAATTATGCATGGTGAATGGTGCTTCCAAGGTCATGATACCCAGCCCCAAGCTGAGGTGATTGTGGTTAGAATGGGCTGGAATGTCTGAGCCAGTCTGTACCCAGCTGATGGTTAGTGCTGACTGTGTTCTCGAGAGTTCAGTTGTTCTGGAGTCCAGAGGACCTTCATGCAGCCTTTCCCCATAGCTCGTGCTTCTCCTGGTGGTGAGTAGAAACCCCTAGGGAACTGAGTCAAGGTCAAGGCCTAAGTGTAGCTGCATACCTTCTCAAGACCTTGCCACACACATGCTGTTGGCCAGAACCCAGCACATAGCCTCTACTTGGCAGCAAGTGAGTCTTGTGCCATTGTTGCTGTTAAGAAGCCCATGATATAGCCAGGCAGTGGTGGCACATACCTTTAATCCCAGCACCCAGGAGGCAGAGCCAGGTGGATCTCTGTGAGTTCAAGGCCAGCCTGGTCTACAGAGAGAGAGAGATCCAGGACAGGCATCAAAACTACACAGAGAAACCCTGTCTCAAAAAACCAACCAACCAACCAACCAACCAAACAAACAAACAAACAAACAAAAAAGAAGCCCATGATGTCTATCCAAGGACAGCTGGAGCTGACTCTCAGGAGAGGGGTGATGGAGAGTGCCCTGAATATTGCAGGTCAAGTGCATCCAAAATAATGATTGTGCTGAAAGGGAGGGTTAGAGACCTATACACCAGTCATCTGGTACTTAGAGCATGGTTCAGTGTCTTCACCATGGCAACGGGGCTCACCGCCTTCTCCATTTCACACCTTTTCTTTTTCTTGGTAACTGCTATAATAGCCCTACTGGCCCTTGTATCTTTTCTGGGGGAAGGTCATTCTGCCTCAGGGCCTTTGCATCAGCTTGTCTTTTGTTCCAGAGTGATTTGCTTCACTAAATCCCTTTCATCTTTCTGACTGCCAAGGTACTTCTTCGAGCACTCATTTGGAAGCAGCGTGTTCCTCCAGTCTAGATGCTCTCAGTTTAGCTTCCTTAATAACACTTGCCAGGAAATAAAACTCTTATTTTGCAATTAAATTATTATGACTATTTTTTTTTGTGCTGAGGATTGAACCCAGGGCCTCATGCATGCTAAGAACAGGTTCTGCCACTGAGATACACCCTCAGCCCCAAACTGCTTAATAGCTTATATTATTATTATTATTATTATTATTATTATTATTATTATTATTATTAGCTTCTCACAATCCAAGGCCCAGATGGGAAGGGGCGTGTCTGTGATTTTCCCTGTGTCCCTAGGGCCTAAGCAGGATCTGTAGACGATAGTTCTGCCCCCGATACGGACAGCAGCTTTGTGTTCATAGGGACACAGCCTGTTGAAGATCTGGTGATCTCCTGCCTCACTGTGCAATCCTCTTGCTTCTGTGACATGCATGTGCTGTGCCCCTCCCATCAGCAACCGCTTCATGGTTGTTGGATGGATGGATGGAACTGCAGAGTTCCAAAGCATCTGAGAACAAATATAGACTTGTGCTTTGAGCAAATACCAGAGTGTCGAGCAGATACCAGATCGCAAGCCTGAAAGTTCAGGTATCCGTTTATATCTGCATGTATCTCATCCACCTGTCTATCCATGTATCTCTATTAGGACCTCATCTCTAGTAGCTGCTCAATGACTGGCTGATCTTCATGCCTATTCATAACAACCCCGGTTCTTTTCCAGCATCACGAGGGGTTCCTCTCCAGGATGTCATTGTTGGGCACAGGTTAGCTCAGGTTTGGGAATTCCCACCTGATCCATCTGGGCCTTGTGGTGACTGATCTTTCTTTGGAATGGTGCTGTTGCCTTCTCAAATGCAGGTCAAACATGGAGGAAGCTCAGGAGAAGGAGAAGGAGCCGTGGACAGAGGCAAGCAAGTGTAGACTGTTGAGTTGTCCTGAGTGCGTGGCCGGAGGCCCAGCCTCACAGGGAACTTCCCAGCCAGGGAAACTGTACTATATTGTGACCCAACTGCAAAGGAGAAGAAGAACTCTGCTTGTGGCTGAGTGGAGGGTGGGCATGGGACCAGGTCGGAGCCTGGAGGCTGGAATAGTGGCACCATAGCGGATTCGGGGACAAGGCCACTGGTGGCAGAAAGGAGAGGCAGGAATGAAGGGGGACTGTCCCATTTGTGCCCTGGCACTGGGATGGGTGGTCTGTCCATCTCTCCCAGGAGAAAGCCGGGAGCAAGAAGGTTAAAGGGGTAAGGGATGTTTGGGGAGTGCTTGAGGTTCGGAAGCGAGGGTTCCTGTGGAGCTGGTCCAAGCGCAGGTGCATCTGGGAGGAGAGTGAGCAGCTGGAATAGGAGGCAACACCCACAGCAGCTGGAATAGGAGGCAACACCTACAGTGGCAGCACACCTGTCAGGTGCCTGCTTTTCTTCACCAGCAACTGAGCTCCACACCACCAGGGAGACAGGAACACCATGAGAGGCTTGGTGTCTGAGAGATGTGCTAAGGCTGGGGGACCCTGCTGTCTCTTCACGCTTTCCCCACCATTCCCCACCCCCCCTCCAGTTGGGCTTTTTCGGCTTTAGTTTCTGTGAAACACTGAGTCAGCAGCCCCCCCCCAACCCCCAGTAGATTGAGCACATCCAAAATTAGGAAAGAAGGGACCGGTTCCAAGATGAGGGTTGGTGGGGAAGCACTCTTGTCAAGGCTGAGGAAAGCTGTGTCTCAGGTGGGCGTGGAGAAGGCAGGTTCAGAGGCCACTGTCTCCTGAGAACCTTGTGGGTGACTTTCAAATTCTTATGCACCCAGAGAGTAGACCTCATTGTCTCTCCTGGGAGAAGAAATCAAGGCTCAGAGGAAATTCAGGGTCCAGAATACGGTTCAGGGTGCGGCTGTGACATCTAAGGCCACCCTCCTATCCCCAAGTCTCTGGTTTGTCTGGATCCACTGTGTCCCACCTCTCCTCCACTTGTCTTTGCAAACGTGGCCAGGGCTGGGGCCCCAGAGGTGGCCCGGAAGGGACTCCTGGTGTTGAAAGGGGGGGGGGCTATTTCTCCCCGAATCGGGAGGAGGGTGTGGCACTGGGGCCCCTCTCCGACCTGTGCGTGGCCTTTGGAGTTGGAAGACGCGGAGAGTCCGGACGCCAGGGCACAGGTGGGAGGGCGCGCGGGCGACAGAAGCGCGTCTGATAGGGGAGGGCGTGCGGGACCTGGCAGCTACCGCACCACAGAGATCGCCTGGTGCCGGCGGCTCCGGCCCCCGCCCCCTTTGGCTGCCGCTCTGAGCTTTTCCGACTGGGAACCAGAAGCAGCAGGATCACAGCCCGGCCAACCCGCGGGCACCTGCCCCATCGCGGGGACCAGAGGTGCGCAAGGCGGTCACCACTCCGGGATCCTGTACAGCGCGGGGTGAGCGCCCCTCCGGTCCGGGGACGGTCAGTTGCAGGGCCCGGCGCACCCTCTGGGGTGCCAGATGGGGGTTCCCGGGGGGCGCGGGGTCGAAGTTAGGTCGACCCTCCAGTGCTACCCAGAGCGACATGCTGCCGCCTGGGCGCAATGGCACCGCGCATCAGGCACGGCTGGGGCTGCAGCGGCAGCTGGCGCAGGCGGACGCCCCGGGGGGCTCCGCGGCCCCTCTGGGACCCGCGCAGGTGGTCACCGCCGGCCTCCTGACTCTCCTCATCGTCTGGACCTTACTTGGCAATGTGCTAGTGTGCGCAGCCATCGTCCGCAGCCGCCACTTGCGCGCCAAGATGACCAACATCTTTATTGTATCCTTGGCGGTCTCGGACCTCTTTGTGGCATTGCTGGTCATGCCCTGGAAGGCCGTGGCTGAGGTGGCTGGTTACTGGCCCTTTGGGGAGTTCTGCGACGTCTGGGTGGCCTTTGACATCATGTGCTCCACTGCCTCCATCCTGAATCTGTGTATCATCAGTGTAGACCGCTACTGGGCTATCTCTAGGCCCTTCCGCTACGAGCGTAAGATGACCCAGCGCGTAGCCCTGGTCATGGTGGGCCTGGCCTGGACCTTGTCCATCCTCATCTCCTTCATCCCGGTCCAACTCAATTGGCACAGAGACAAGGCAGGCTCCCAGGGCGGAGAAGGCCTGCTGTCCAATGTAACGCCCTGGGAAGAGGGCTGGGATCGAGAAGGGAGGACGGAGAACTGCGACTCCAGCCTGAACCGAACTTATGCCATCTCCTCCTCGCTCATCAGCTTCTACATCCCGGTGGCCATCATGATCGTGACCTACACGCGCATCTACCGCATTGCACAGGTGCAGATACGCCGGATCTCCTCCCTGGAGAGGGCAGCTGAGCATGCTCAGAGCTGCCGGAGTCGCGGGGCCTGCGAATCTGACCCCAGCCTGCGAGCATCCATCAAGAAGGAGACCAAGGTCTTCAAGACACTGTCAGTGATCATGGGGGTCTTCGTGTGTTGCTGGTTGCCTTTCTTTATTCTGAACTGCATGGTTCCGTTCTGTAGCAGTGGAGACGCCGAAGCCCCAAGGCCTGGCTTCCCTTGCGTCAGTGAGACCACCTTTGATATATTCGTCTGGTTTGGCTGGGCCAATTCCTCTCTCAACCCCATCATCTATGCCTTCAACGCTGACTTCCGGAAAGTGTTTGCCCAGCTGCTGGGATGCAGCCACCTCTGCTTCCGGACCCCTGTGCAGACCGTAAACATCAGTAACGAACTCGTCTCCTACAATCAAGACACCGTCTTCCACAAGGAGATTGCTGCTGCCTATGTCCACATGATCCCCAATGCGGTGTCCTCCGGAGACAGGGAAGTGGGCGAGGAGGAGGAGGAGGAGGGGCCTTTTGATCACATGTCTCAAATCTCTCCAACGACCCCAGACGGTGACCTGGCTGCTGAATCTGTCTGGGAGCTTGACTGTGAGGAGGAGGTTTCCTTAGGCAAAATCTCACCTCTCACCCCCAATTGTTCCCATAAAACTGCTTAGAAACACCCTCATGGGAATATACAACGGCAGCCATATTTACAGGCATTCACACATACATACACATAAATCTACACACTCCCAGTGTGCATATGCTTTCTGTAGTCCAGCTGCATAGAAACCAAACGATACTTAGCTGAGAAAATTAGCAGAGGCTGTTGGAATAAACTCAGACTCTGAGTTCATTCAGAAAAGTGTTCCCTTTAAGGAAGAGAAAGTGGAGCCCGGTCCTTTAAGAGCACACCTCAACTTAACCTTCCAAACACACACTTGTTCTGTGATTCTGTCTAGGTTGCTTTTTAAATGACAGGTCTCTGAGTGGCAATTGTTGGAGAGCACTGTGGCTTTCCAGAGACTTGGGTCCTGTAGCCTGGTGCTCTGGTAGCTTCTGTTTAGCTTGGATTGGGGCTCTTTCCTGGGCCCGGGATTTTTTTTCCTGATTTGTTCTGCTTTTTAAGGTGCACAATACACGTGCTTGGGGTTGGGGGAGGGTCATCTTTGCGCTGCCAGTTGGTGTTTGGTGTTGCCCGGAGAAACCTCAGCATGTTCTTAGCAGACAGCTGGGTTTGGGAGCACACATTTGTTTTCTGAGCCGCTTGGTTTAGGGAACACGCTGCACAAAGGGCCTTGAGGAATGGCTGAATTCTCAGCTTTCTTACTATTAGTCAGTCACTCCTCCAGGGCACACTGAAGGTTAGTTCCACCTCCACAGTGTGTTAGATTCAGACTTCTCAAGCCTGGCTAGTTCTATTTTGACGCTTGGAAACTTTTTCTAGGGTCACAGGAGACAATGGTCCTAGTTGCTACACAGATGCTCTCAGTTCATTGAAAAGACCACCTAGAATAACAGCCCTGTCATCTCCATTTCTCATCCACAGTATTTCAAAGTGACGTGGCTTCAGTAAATCACATTTTCTTGGGTCTTTTAGCTGCGATATGTTTCAAAATGCTTCAAAACCAAAATTCTGCTTGGAAGCCGATGCTTTTTACTGCAGACAGTAGCAAACGGAGTGAACTTCAACCCGCATGCAGAAAGCCAGAGGCGACAAGTGAATGGATGAACTCATGGGGTGCGGGGCTCACAAGGGAGCCCACCTGTCTGTCTTTATGCTGTCCCTCTCTGCACTGAGTACAGCGAAGAGTACTTTATTCTGCTGTCATTTCACTAGTCACAAATGCAAACATATAACAAAAGCAAACGGACTCTGCATCTGTAAGCTCCCACACTCCCCTGCTCCAAAGATGGCTTCTCAAGGACAGTTCAATCAATTTCGGTTTCCTTATGGATAATTGTATTATGAGTCTTCTGAACAGCCGTGTCTTGTTTCTTGTAAAATGTGCAGTGCCTGTCACACCATGCTTAATAAATGTTTGTTGAATGAATCATTTTCTGAATAGTGAGGCTAAAAGCAAACCTTACTTAGTGTATTGAGTCCTATGATTTTTGTCAAACTGAAATTGGGATCTGAGGACGGTGTTCCAGTTTTGACTTCTTGCACACCCGTAGGTAGATAAGGAGATCATCAGGGCACAGGCAGGGCCTGGGAAAGGTGCGCTGTGCCAGGATTCCTGAGGTGGCTGCATGATCCCGAGTGAGCCTATGGCCCTCTCTGGGACTCACTTTCTGGAAGCATTTGTAAATGGAAGGCCTCGATCACTAACTTAGCTTTTTTTTTTTCTTCTCTTATACATTACATCCCAACTGCAATTTCCCCTCCCCTCACTCCTCCCAGCACGCCCCACCCCTATATCCTCTCTCCCTCAGATCCACTCCTCCATTTCCCTTCAGAAAAGAGCAGGCCTCCCCGGGATATCAATTAAACTTGGCATAGCAAGTTACAATAAGACTAGGCACAAACCCTCACATCAAGGCTGGACAAGACAACTCAGTATGAGAAAAGGATACCAAGAGCAGGAAAAAGAGTCAGAGACAGCCCCAACTCCCACTATTAGGAGTCCCACGAGAACACCAAGCTACACAACCATAATGTATATTCGGAGGACCTAGCACAGACCAATGCAGGCTCCATGATTGTTGCTTCAGTCTCTGTGAGCCTCTATGAGCCCTGCTTAGTTGATTCTGTGGGCTGTGTTCTCCTGGTGTCCTTGACCTCTCTGGCTCCTACAGTCTTTCCCCTCCCCCAAAGGCCTCCCTGAGCTCTGGCAAGTGTTTGGCTGGATCACTAACTTTCAAATTGTGTTTAATGATGTGGACAATCACAGGTAGAGTCTGAGGAGCCCAGCAAACTCAGGTTTGATGCTCATTTTCCCTATAGGGCTCTGGAGAGCTTTTTCTGAGCACTATGAATCCCAAGTGTGTGAACATCATTTCCCAGCGTCTTTGACCCTGAGAATCCTCGTTGGCTTAAATTCCTATTCTCTCTCTGGTCTTCCATTACAGGAGCACAGTTTGAGAAACTTAGAAATTTAGAAGCTAAAAGACAGCTATTCCATCCCATAGAACAGGTTGTGGTAAGCCAATATGGGGTGGTGGTGGTAAATGTCTCAGTTTAAAGAGGTCTGTGTTATGGGAAGTCCATCTTGTGAGTACTGTGAAACACCCCCCCCCCCACACACACACACAATACATCATTCCTCCTGTGTACTACTTCCATGTCATACATGCTCAGCACTGTCTTACACTCTGGGAATACAGTCATCTGTCAGATTCTCTGCTGTCTTGGAACCTAGTATTAGTGGGCTCAGGTAAAGTTCACATTACATTGCCTTGGATCATTCCACCCATAACATTCACCAGGCAGTGGTAATGGCTGTGACACATAAGAAAAAGAAAAAGCTGTGCCTACATTTAGTATTATCAGGGGAGGTGTCTCTGAAGAGGAAGAGCTGTCTGGGCAGAGGGAATGGCAGGTGCCATAGTTTGGAAATGGACTGCGCTTTGCCAGGCTAGAGAAGAGAAAGGAGGCCAGCGTGACTTGGAGACCATGGCTGATCAAACTCAGGTCCTCATATTTATGTGGCAAGCACTTAACAAACTGAGCCTTCTCCTGAACCCACACTCACTCCTCTTTGAAGCTGTTTGCTTCTGAGCTGACTAACTGAGCTTGTGTTTCTTCAGATTCCCAGGCTCAAAGACTGAGAGAGACCTCACCCTGGTTGTTGTGTGGTAGCTTTTATTGTTTGGAAGCTTCAAAAATCACGTTGCCTGCTTCCTTCATGCTGGGATGAGGAACAGGTAGCCAGAGGGATTGAAACGTTTTGTTTTGTTTTGTTTTGTTTTTAAGGTGGTTAAATGGAATCTGGGTCTTTGGGCTCCCGGTTTGCTTCTTCTGTGGTACAGTGAGTCCAGTTTACATTGAGTGCTGTCAGTTGGTGGATTATTTACAGACAGGCAGGGACTTTAGCATGCTGATTAATTCTCGATAGCAAGCAGCATGGAGGCTGATAATTTACAACTGACAAATGCTAGCTGGCACCGAGGGGGGCAAAGTAGCATCTCAAAGGCTTGTTTTTGTTTGTATTTCATGAAAGACACCAGGCCTTTCTGTGCTAAGTGCCAGGAAGTCAGTTTCAAAGAAGAGCTGGGGAAAAGAGGATTTTAAAATTATACTACAATCTCAAAAATAAAATAAATTTTAAAAGGGGGAAAAAAAAGAATTGAAACCAAACACAAGGCACCAGCTCTTCACTGCTATGAGGTCCTTGGGCAGGCTGAGTGGCTCTTCAAGTGTGATGGGGAACTTGCTCTCCCACCCTAGTCTGGTACAGTGAGAGTGTCACCAACATCCCAAGAAGCATAGAACGAAGATCTTAGTTGGGGAAGGACTTGGGTTCAAGTCTAATTTTAGCGACTCTAAGTGAACAATTTAATATCCCAGTGTGGCCTGTTCTCCTCCAGTCATAATAACTATACCACTTTCATCCCTTTTAGATTGTACACCCTATCAGATGCCACATTGGAACCGACACAGTCATTTCTGAGAGCCTCCAGGCTGGCCCTTTAAGCAGTCTTGACACAGGAGTATGGGACTGTCTTTGAGAATGATGGAATCTTTCTTGGCTCTTGGTGAGCTTAACCCAAAGGGCTTGGGTCCCAGAAACTCAAAAGCCACTGGGAGCTTTTAGGTTATTGTTTTATGAATTTGAAGCCTGAAATTCATGGACCACAGAGGGTGGCTTTAGGAAAGTATTATAGGGAGCTTAAGTGAGAGGGAAAGGCACGGCTCCCATGCAGCAGGAGGGGTCCTGGACTGGGGTATCACCGAGAGTGATACACCAGTTTGCATGTAAAGTGTCTTGAAGTGTCTCTCATGCTCTCAGTACGATCTCTATTAAAGAGAACTCCTTCTGTGGAGAAGGAAAAACCAACATCCATTCTGGCATCCCTGACCTCTGGCCAGTGCATTACCGAAGACATTTTGGTCTAAACACTTCTGGCACCTCTGGTCCCCTGGCGTGGTGAGGCTCAGGGATAGTTCTGGATTTTAGTCAAGAGGAAAAATTATTCACTTTGGGGTCTTTTACCCTAAGACTCCTCAGCCACTCTCCATCTCCTGTTTTTATTATTCTTGTGCCTTTTATACTGTCCAAGGGGCTGAGGCTCTGGAAGGTCAACCTCCTTGTTCAAGGTCACACTGCTAAAACGTGACAACATAGGGTTCAAGTCAAGTCCACCTGGCTTGACGCTCTGCCACATGGTAAGAACGTAATAGAGAAGAGAGGGAGAGACAGAGGGATGGATGAACAGAATGAACAAGAGAGGCTGGCTTGGGGTAATGCAGCTACTGAGTGACTGAGCTACAGTTCAACACCCCCCACCCCCACACCCACACCCCCACCCCCGGTCCCTTCTTACTTCTAAACACTACATCATACCATCTTCCTGGCTTAAGGGAACTCTTAGCTGTGACATAAATCATTCATGAAACTATGAGGAACCCACGAATGTTTGGCCAGGGGCTGTGACTAACACTGGTGGGGTAGATCATCTTCTTTGCTACTTTGACTGGGTGTGTTTGTGTGGGTCGTTTCCAAAGAGCATTGTCTAAAGTAATTACCTGAGTGTAGGTGCGGGTCCCATGGGCTTGGGGCCCAGTTGGAATATAAGATAAGAAGAGGAAGTTGACAGAACATCAGGAGCCCCCCTCTTTCTGCTTGCTGACTTGTGATGATGTGGACCGAAGTGTTCCACCCACGTGGATGGAGACCATGAGTCCAAATCAAACTTTACTCCTTTAACCTGTTCCTATGGAGTATTTTATCTAAGAGATAAGTAGCTGATACAACTGGGATCCACTGCCCACTCAAGACAGGCACACCAAGGTCTGTGAGGACCCCACAAGCTCACAGCACTCTCTTCCCTCCAAACTCTGAACCCAAGCAAAAGCCTACATTTCTTATGGTATATTTTGAACCTGTTAGCTCCAGCAGCAGCACGAACAATTATCACCCAATATTCGACCTGCTGGCAACATATGGATGAGTTAGTTGTTCAGAAGTGATAGACACATTCCAGAATATCTGAAATTTATGCTTGCATTTCTCACTGATCAGTTAAAATGATGAATGCAACTTGCTACATTTTAATATGGTTAGTAATAAATGTTACTGATATATGTCAACAACAAGACATAAAATTGACAGCCACAAAATCAGATGGACAATTGCTAGAACTCCATCCTTCCCAACTACAGTATAAAAAGATATTGATGAGTTCCAGACAAGCCAGGGCTATAGAGTGAGACCCCAAAAGAAAAAGAAAGATATCGATAAAATTTGATATGGAGGAGGAAATTAACCTCTACTATCTGATCATCATTGTGAAATTTGGAGAGAAAAGATTGTTTCAATAAAAATAAATTCAGTGGATTTTTTAAGAAAGTGGAAAATAACACAGGAAATGGCTTTAACTGCATCAAAGAGAAAAATGATCAATGCATTTAATTAGCTCAGTGCATTTTACTCCAAAAAATATTAGTTGCTGGGGAAAATTCATCAGTGTTGATTATTTACTTAAATGTTTATTTCTAGAGCTGAATTTTGTTCATTTCCCACAGGTCTATTCCCATGCCTCCCCACAGATCACATGCTACCCTCCTTCAAGGTTGATAGGCCACTGGAGCTCCAAATTGAAAGGTCTTGGATGCAGGTTCAAGGGGACACTAAGACAGTTAGGGGTAAGGAGTTATTTCCACCATGGACAGACTGGACAGACAGACACGGAGTGGCGAGGACTTGGTGTGATGGGGTGAGGTGAGTAGGAGCCCATAAGCTGTAACATTTTGTTTTGCTTTGTCTTTTGTGTTCCGGGTTAGCCTCAGACTCACTGTGTAGTCAGGGGTGACTTTTGTCTTGGTGTCTCTATTGCCATGATAAAACACCATGACCAAAAGCAACTTGGGGAGAAGAAGGTTTATTTCAGC